TGCACATCAAGCGATGGAACTTTAAGCTGTACCTGTAAAGAAGGCTACAAGAAAACAGACTACAGTACTAGAGTGTGCATTGGTAAGATGATTACCTGAGCAAAGCAAGTGGTGTGTGTGTCTGTGTGTTTTATGTAAGCTAACGACAAACTGTCTCTATTTTTCTTTTTTACAGCTACTTGTCCCCTTGGGGAAGAATTGAAGGATAATGAGTGCGTGAAGTAAGTACTCCTTCTCCTCCTGTATGTCCTCTATTGATGTAAGGTTGCTTTTAAATAGAAATCTTAAAATCAACCTTCTTCTTGTCTTGCAGATGCTCGTTTGGTTATTCTGGTTTTAACTGCTCAGAAAGTGAGTATACTGCATGTTTTTAAAGTGAAAGCAGAAGTATGGTTACTTAACGACACATGATACAATAGATAGAAAGGTTATTCAAAAGCTGGAAAATACGATAAAAGTTTATGTCCTCTTCATTGTGTTTTATTAGACTGGCAGCTCATTCTGGTAATTGTGGGCTCTGTGCTTGGAGGACTGCTGCTCATAGCCCTCATCCTTCTACCAGTAGTAGCTACCCAGTAAGTTTCTTACTAATTATTCATCCACTTTTGTGTCATTCTAACAGTTATAAATGTGAGAAAATGTTTTTCTCACTTTGATTTAGGCTTTATTGTAGATGCAAATGCATTTCAAATCAAGAGAATTTGTTCATGTCTGACAGAGTCAATCGTGAATTACAATATTTTTTTACTGCTGTGATTTCAGAAAATCAAACAAAATCTCGAAGAAGAGCAAAAGTGCAGAAATGGAAAAACCCTACACTAACCCGAGTTCTGCCGCACAACCAATGGCTAGCAATAAGTTTGGCCACAGCCAGGGAGTCTCATTTAATGGGTCAGCCAATGGCAATTCAGGTTTTCAGAATGGTGGGGTACCCATGTTCCCACGAGCTGGCAACTGCACCAACAGTATGGACAACAGGACCAACCTGGAGATGAAACCAAGCAATGGCCGACAAAACTTTGGACATATGAACAGTGGCTCAGAGTATTCCTCTGTGTGTATAAAGAAGAGATACGTTCATCAGATTTTTTGTTTTTTTTAGTGTTTGCTGTTAAATTTACTCTCATTCTTTTTTCTCTGTAGCGGCTATATGATGAACCAGAGGACATACGCCCATACGCTCAGACTCAACCTC